TAAATGGTTCGTTTATATGAATGGTGAAGGAGTGTGAGAGTATGTTAGGAGAAGCTTTCTGAAATGTCTTTTGCATAATTTGGTGTATGTTGAAAAGTTTCTTATATAGTGTGTCTTGCTTATATGTTTTGTTTGGTTGTGAACTGTGATGCTCGTATTTATAGACTTGTTTATACACATTGTAACTAAAGGAGTTGTTAGGAACTTCTCGTAATCTATATTTTATCTTTAAAATATTGATTCTTTTATATATATATAAAGGGTTTTGAAGTACATAATATGTTATTTTGACAGACAACGGTTTTAAAGTATTAAAAAATTTATAAACGTAATTGGAGAGATTAAGTGTATGATGTTGCTTGCATGTTAACAAATCATTTGTATGGGCTTCCTTTGTCTTCGGCAAAGGGAACTTCTTTTTATATTAAACTTGGATATACTGTATGTATGGATTAATTAGCTAACATCTTATGCATTTAACAATTATATATGATTACTTTGGAAACCAACCTAACAAAGTCCTGTAGAAGTATTATTAACAAATAAATACATATACAGTAATAATATTAGAAATCATATTATACGATGTATTTCACTACCTCTGATTCATTATAATTATACAAAAACGAAAATTTACAGCAACACTTGTTTGTAAAACGAAGGTCGTAGTAACTTGTAGAGTATATATCACATGGGAGATAATTATGTTAGAATTTCATTTCTTAAGACGCAGCTTTGGTTGACAGTGACAAACATGATGCCGAGAATTGATCAATAGTTTAATCATGAGCTGATTATATCTGTAATTAAGGCAAAATTAAAAATATACAGTACTCATAAGTAATAATCAGGTGTTGAAATAAGTTTGTGGTCCTGCAGCATGTACACTTGGATTTGACCTTACGAGTATTTGGGGACCATATGGGAAATTTGAGTATGTTCAGAGAGAACAAAACAAGAGTTTTGATTATGATTTTTCAAGAAGTGTAGAGGCTTTTGGTGAAATGATTAATGGATGAGGAGTTCTAAATTATAAATTATACTACTTGTTGGTATAATTAACTGGAGACAGTTATGATTATGTCTTCTACTTTAAGATTAAACAACACCTGGATAATCATAATTTAGTTCAGTTATTGTACCATTTCTCTCAATTTATTACGACTAATTCATTTATGTAAAATATTTAGGGAAATAAGACTCGTTCAATTGGTTTGATGGTGTATAGTGTATACAAATACAATCATACTTTTTTTTGTATACAATCATACTTTCATCTATAGGGATTAATTATGCTTTACTACTCTGGACAAGCAAGCATATCTGATCCAGTCCAAACCATATAATCCACCCAAAAACCAAAATATATTTTAATATGGTTTAAATTGGTTTATTTTTATTATTACACCTGAAAACCCGAATCCAACTTCGAATCAAAACAGATAATAATTGATTTAATTAAAACTGGAATATTCAAATTGAAACTGAACCGTACAAAACCTGAAAAACTGGATTATCCAAAAGGAAATCGAGATTGAACCACTGATAAGGGGCGGAAGCTATGACTAGTACGCTGTCGAGACTTCCAGGAAGAGACGACGTCAACCGGGGTTTTGTTCGAGCTACG